ACCTGGCTATACTTGCTTCCCATGTCTAGGGTCAGAAGAGTATTCTAAGTTCTGAACTGCTTTTGACAAGCTTTTCTTTTTCTTCCCAATGTCAGGGAAAGGGTTTGAGACATCCCCACTCCAGGGAAATACTCCTCCCATGTCCCTCTACCCCTTGACTCAGGTAAATCTTTCTGTACTTCACAGGGGCCGGGGCCTTGTTTTAAGCCCCCTGTAGACCTCTGTTCTGTTTTTTTTTTTTTTTTTTAAGTTTATTTCTTTCATGAGAGTGAGAGACAGAGTGAGAAACAGAGAAAGAGAAAGACAAGCAACTTCAACAGGGTCCCACACCGTGTTCCCAGCCAGCCAGGATCATGGGCACGCACACCCTGTGTTTACAGGTCGACCGGGGAACCGAACCCGTGACCTCCTACATGGATCCAGCATCGCTTGAGCAGCGCGTCACTGGTGCGCCACCGAGCCAGCCCTTAAGCCCCCTATTCTCTTTTCCTTCTCATCCATCATTACTTCTGACAGGATAAATCATCTGGACTCACAGAGTCAGGACCAAAAATTGTTTCTTCTCTTTCTGGCTGGGGTAAAGTCTCTCTTCCCCTACAGAAATAGGGAGCAATACATCCCTGTTTCCAGGGACAGAGAGGAAGAAGATCCTGGGCTGCCCTGGTAACTTGAAAAATACCTCCTCTACCTGCCCCTTGCAGTCCCTTCCTTATGCTTGTCCCTGTATGAACATGGAAGCAAAGCTCTGTTCCCTTTCCAACAACAGAAGAGATGCTTTTTATCCTTCCACTTCCTAGGACAAAGGGAGAAAGAAGGTGCTCCTCTTCTTTCAGCCTCACCTGGTCTGGCTTGGGACCTTTTGGGGTTGAAAAGAGAGGAGATTCTTCCTGCCACCCCAGTCTTGGTTCTAAACTGTCAACAGAGGCATTTGTAGCCTGGAAGCCAGTTGGATCCCTGGGGAAGAGGGGAGTCGTTGAGAGGGAGTCTGGATGGTAAGTCTGGTCCATGTTCTGACTATTTGGGCTTCCTGTTGGTCCTGATCATGTGGATGTGCCCCTGTTTCCTTTAGGAGTCTTTTTGGTTCCCTGGAATCTAGGTGGTGAGGAAGCAGTGATGTCAGGGGTTTCCTTTTCCAGTCATGGCTGCCGTGTTGAGAGTCTACCCAATGGAAAGGATGGCTTGTAACCATCCTAAACTTGGGTACCCCGCAGAACTGTTTGGGAACCCCATGGAGCTGTTCGAGAAGTGAGTGTGGATGCTGAGGTGATGGGAAGAGCTGGACCTGGCACTGTAGTCAGGGTGCCAGCATTCCTCAGTCTGTTGAGGCTTTGCTGGATGAACCCAAATAGGTTTGCCTATGCTGTCTGGGCCTGTTTCCCAGAGGTGGAACAGGTGAGATATCATTTAGCTTTGGGATTTTAGGGGATTCAGTCTCAAGTCCTCTAGGCCTGGAGGTAACAGGGGATGGTGTCTATTAAGGAGGAACTGAGCTCCTTCTCTCTTCCTCCCAGCTATCCAAGCTTGGTGGGTGGGACAAGTGGCCTATTTGGCATGAGGCTCACGGTTGATGGACAGCAAGTTCTGTGGCCAGCTGTGCTATGGTGAATAAGCTCTGTGGGATTGCCTGTCAGGGGCCCATTGGATAGCATGGAGGGGTAGAGTTGTGTATGGAAAGAGTTTGGGCTTTGGAGTCAGGCAGTCTTGAGTTCAAATCTTAGTGCCCCCTGCTTTGCTGCTTTAGGCAAACCAATTTTTCTCTCAGCTGCCTTTTTTCCCCAAAAAGTTAATCCATGCTTAGTGTTACTAATGTGAATATCTGACCTTGCCTATCTTGGTTCTTTGACTGGTTCTCCCTCTTGCCCAGGATGGACAGTTTGCTCCAGGGTCATCTTGGCTCTTTGCCAACTAAGCCCATCATTTAGCATCTAGAAACCTGCCAGTTCCTTAGGTTCTTCCTATCCTTTTTGGAGTTGGGTAGCTACCCAGTGGGGAAGCAGGAAGTGGTCTCTGCCCAGGCAACATGGAGTTGAGTCCTGTTTCGGCACTAAGCTTTTGTGTAGTCTTTGGGCATTTCCTTTTTCTGAGTCTTGTTTTCTCTATCCATGGAATGGGTAGTGGTGAGGAGGGAGTTTGGACTCAATGCTCTGAATCAAGTCGTAATCTCTTTCTTTATCTTCTCCCAACTCCCCACCCTTTATGAAAGTTCAAAGTGGGACCTGGCTTTTGTGGAGGGGTTATCTTTGGGGATATTACTATGGTATTTCAAGCAGTGTTCAGCTTCCTTCTTCCTGGCTGGTGCTATAGGCCTTTGGTTAGTTGGTTGTTGTTTTTTCTATTTTAACAGCTTTATTGAGATGTAATTCATGTACTGTGTGATTCATTGATGTAAAGTGGCTTTTAGTACATTCACAGAATAGTTCATCTATCACCATAGTCAATTTAGAACATTTTCATCACTCCAGAAAGAAATCCTCACCCCTTAGCCATCATACCCAAATTATTTCATCCCATTCCAGTCCCTGGCATCTACTAATCTGCTTTCTGTTTTGATTTATTTGTCTCTTTTGGACATTTTACATGAATAGAATCCTATAATACGTAGTCCTTTGTGACTTGGCTTCTTTTCACTCAGCAAGGCTTATCCATGTTATAGCATGTATCAGTCCGTCCATTTTATTGCTGAATAATAGGGTTGGGGGGGTTAATCTCCTTCCCTTCAGTGGCCCAGCACTAGATCAGGATCGTTCCTCTTCTTTCTCCCTCTGCCATGGAGGGCCTGTATGGGTCCTTAGAGAGCAATGTGTGGGTCCTTAGAGAGCAGTGTGTGTGTATGTGTGTGTGTGTGTGTCTGTATTTCTCATTGGATGGTTGCCTGTGTTTTTCCAGTGGAGCTGAGCCAGTGTTCCTGGGTGTGTTGGGGGAGGAGGTGGGTTTGGCACCAGGGTTGCTGGGACAGAGCTATGAGGTCCAGAATACTAAACACCTCTTGGCCCTGGGCTCTGGGAAGACATCTGTCCCCGAGCTGCCAGTGCTGCTGCCATCTTTCCTTGCCCCCTTTTCCCTTCCATGGCAGCTCATTCTTCTACAGACAGGGTTAGCATTTTCCCAGGCTGGGAGGGGGGAGTTCAGGCTCCTGGTATCTTAGTTCTAACTCCTTCCCTGGGAGAAGTGAAGGCTGTGGATCCTTACGAATGGGACCTATGCCATGGTGTCTCAGCCATGAGGCCCTAGAGTGCAGACACCAAGAAGTTCTAGGGGGGTTATATTAGTTTCCTGTGGCTGCTATGACAAATTGTCTTATTTAAAACAACAAATTCATTTTCTCAAAATTCTGGAGGCCAGAAGTTGAAAATGATTTTGCTGTGTCAAAATCAAGGTGTTGACAGGGCTGTCCTCTCTCTAGAGGCTCTAGAGGAGAATTTAGTGCTTTTCTAGCTTCTGGTGGCTACCAGCATTCCTTGGCTTCTGGCTGCATCTCTCCAGTCTGCCACTGTCCTCATATTGCCTTTTTTTTCTGTGTGTATGTATGTGTGTGTGATTTCTTCTTCTGTGTTTATCATGTGTATGTGGATGTTATTAGTTTTTCCCATAGGGCATGTGCACTTGCCTGAGAGACACAGAGAGAGAGAGAAGGAAAGTGAAAAATCACCCCCTGGGAGGGATGGCCACGCCTCAGTCTTTTCTCCTCCAGTCTCCTCTCGGGATTCTAGGGACATGTACATGCTCCTGGCATGAGCTTCAAGCTGTCTGGTCTAGGACTCAAACTGGTCAGTCCTGTGGAATCAGCACCTCAACCACCACACCATCTGCTGGCCTACGTCTCTCTCTTTTTAAAAACTTGTCAGAGGGGTGTGTGCTTGGGAGGGGAGGGAGGGTGTAAGAAAGCATCCTCTTCATGGGGCATGGTCAATGTTATCCTTTCTCCTCCATCTCTACTTCCTTTAGGGATTTTGGGCATACAGGCACATATGCCTGGTGTGTTAAGCTGCCAGGTCTGGTACTTGAACTGCACAATTTGCCATGTGGGATCCAGCCTCCTTAACCACCAGGCCACAGACCTTTGTCTTTCTGTTATAAAGACACTTGTGATTGCATTTAGGTCCCATCCCCCACACTCTTAAGATAATCTCTCCATCTCAGGATCCTTAACTTTTTTTAACAAATTATTTATTTTACTTATTATTATCATTTTTTTAAAGAATCATTTAATTTTGTTTATTATTATTATTCAATTTGAACAGAGAGAGAGAAAGAAAGGGAGAAAGCAAGCTGTCAGGTCTAGGACTTGAACCACGGTTGGCCATATGGCAGTCCAGCACATCATCTGCTGGCCTTCATTATTATTAGTTTTTAATTCATGAAAGAGAGAGACAGTGAAATAGCAAGCCGCCAGGTCCAGGACTCAAACCACGATCGGCTACGTGGGAGTCCAGCACCTTAACCACAATGCCATCCACTGGCCCCAGGATCCTTAACTTAATTACATCGGCAAGCACCATTTTTCTTTTTCTTTCTTTCCTTTTTTTTTTGGGGGGGGGGAGGTTGTTGCTATAGGGCGCGCGCGCTCGCCAAGACAGAGACAGAGAGACAGAAAGTGAGAAATCACCCCCCAGGGGCGATGACCACGCCGCAGTCCCTTCTCCTCCATTCTCCTCTTGGGATCTTGGTCACGCACGCCCACATGCCCAGCGTGAGTTTAAGCCACTGGGCCTGAGACTCAAACTGAAGTCGACTACGTGGGATTCCAGCAACATAGCTATTACATCAACTGCGGTCCCAACACCATTTTTCATATAAGGTAACATTTATGGGTTCCAGGGATTGGTGTCCAATATTTTTGGGTGACCATTATTCAGCCTACTACAGAGATGTTCTTCTATTTTTAAACAACTTTTCTTTATTCATAATAGAGCAAGAATGTGATACACTTACACACATACACATGTATACACATGAGCACCCTGCACAGGATCTGATTGTTGCCCATCCCCCTTCAGTCTTCCAGCCAGCTGGATTTGGAGCATTCATTAGAGTGCCTGGTGTGTTTCTGGCTGACTGGGCCTGAGATTCAAACCACAGTCTGACTTCTCTTGAACAGCACATTTATCTACCATTGTGCTTCGAAGTTGGTCCCACAGAGGTGTTCTTACTTCCCTTCCAGGGAAGGTAAAAGAATTCACTAAGTAGTCCCTTACTGGGCAGTTGTATAATATTTTAGTTTGCCCACTATCCCTATTATTGGGAGACTTGTTATCCTCATTTCATGGATTTGGAAACTGGCTCACTGCATTTCACTACAGTGGCTAATAATTGGTGGGGCTGGATCGGAACCCAAGTCAGTTGATTTTTACTACCTTCTCTGACCTCTCGAGCTTTTAGACTAGTAGCTTGCAGAGTCTTGGCTCAGGTCTTGGGATACTCAGGTGTCAGTGAGCTTTGCTCCTCCCTTCTGTGGAGGCTCAGCCATGTGTAGGAACTCTGCCCCAGGCCCAGCAGTGGACTTGGAAAGGTTCAGAGCTTGGACTTGATTTCCACGGGCCAGGGTAGTGGTGTAGCTTAAACTTTTCTATGACTGAACTATCTTCTACCCACATTCTCACTAGCCCTTAACATTTTCTCTCCAAAGGGAAGGAGAGAAGGGCCAGGGCCTAAGCTCTTCAGGTTGTTGGTGGCAAAGCCATTTGGTAACAGGTGGTCTGGCCTCTAGATCTATCCCTAGATGCCTGTCTGGCTGCCTCAGGACCCAAACCCTGCTTGTGCAAAAAGTCTACTCAGGCCTCTTTTATTTTTAGGAACAAATCATGATTTTCCCAGGATGGGCTGCCAGGTATATCGCCATGCTGTGACTCATGGGGCCACCCCTGTTTGTTTTGATACTAGGCTTTGCTGGTGCCTAAACCCCAACTCCCTTTACTTTTATAAAAAGATAATGTTTTGGGGACCAGCAGTTAGCATAATGGCTATGTCGCTGAACTCCCATGTAGTCGACCATGGTTTGAGTCCTGGACCTGGTGGCTTAAACTCACGCCAGGCACGTGTGCATGTGTGCCCAAGATCCCGAGAAGAGAATGGAGGAGAAGGGATTGTGGTGTGGCCATCCTCCCTGGGGGGTGATTTCTGACTTTCTCTCTGTCTGTCTGTCTTTCTGGCCAGTGCACACGCCCTATAGCAAAAGAAAACCTCTCCAACAACAACAACAAAAAAACAACAAAAGATAATGCTTTTACCACCAGGGTTATGGTAAGGAGAATTAAATGAGATCACCCTAATATCTGGCACCTGGTGAGTTCATCTTTCTTCCTGGCTCTTCTCTGCTTACCTGACAGGTCCTACCCAAGACTTCAGCTCTTACTGAACTCATTCCTGGGCTCTGCTTACGGCAGAGGTGATTTCATTACTCATCCAATTAACAAGCATTTCTGGAGGTCCTGATGGTTTAATCCTTTGCTCAGGTGGCACCTCCTCTTAGGTACCAGGGTGCAGTCCCTTCCTGTTTCACAACATCCAATACTCACCTCTTTCATGGTCCTTCTCACTGTATGTGGTTGTTGCCTATTTCTTTGCCCCTCCCTTACCAATTTGTGAGTTTATCGAGGTTAGAGGCCAAATCTGATTCATTTCTCTGTCATTGCCTGGCCCAGGATCTGATTCAGTAGCTGCCTGATAAATCTTTGCTGAGTGAGTTAGTAGGAGCCCCTCTCCTTTTTGATCTCCCTTTCTTGCTTCTATATTTTCCCTCCTTCCACACTTGAGGGCAGGAGGTTGCTGTGTTCCCTTCTGTCTGGTCTGGGGTTGCAGTTATAGCTGTGGTTTCCCTAGAGACCCCTGCCTGAAGCAGGCCTCAAGTTTCTGGGAGATGACTGGACTTGGGGTAGTGATGGACTTGGGGGTAACTAGCTGGAGTGTGCTAGGCCCCAGCCTCTGAGGCAGGAGGGGGCGCTAGACCACTGGAATGTTGTGTACAAACGAGTCTTCATGCTGCCCATGGAAGCCCATTAAGAGCTTCCAAGTGTCTGTGTCATCTTTGGAAATCTAGGCACACTTTCTCAGGGTGTGGGCCCTGATGGTGGAGGCAGGCTGGCTGTTTTCTTGTTACCCCCCCATTTATCCTCTCCTGTCTAGCTTCTCATCTAGGAAGGCCTTCTGTAGGCCTCTGAGTTGTACATAATCTCTGATTGTGCTGGTCTCTGCCTTCTGGTATTGGTGACTACCTCACTAATGTATGGTATGTTGTTTACAAAGTCTCTTCTGGTGCCGAAACTCCTCAGAGTCTCTTGACAGCTTTGTCAGATAGATGAGGGATAACCCATTTGATAGGAATCTGAGGCTTGCTGAATTTAGGCAGTTTACTGAAGATCAGGCAGTAGTGAGGGACAGAGCTAGAGTTGGAACCCAGAGCTCTCAGCCTCAGACCTTGTGCTTCCTACTTTGCAAGAGACTGTTCTCCCTTGTTTTTGGGGGTCATGGGTCCCACCAGTTGCCTAAGCTGAAAATACGGCCTTGCAGGGAGGTGGGTCCCTCTGTTAGTATTAGCCCAGATCCTATAAATCCTGGGCCTGGTGGTGTCCCCAGTGAGCAGGCTTGGGATCCTATGGTTTCCCATCCTTGCTGGTGAGTCAGGCTGACTGCTTCTGGTGGACAGCAGAGGGCGCAAGGGGCCTGGGAAAGGTGTGCTGCTTCTGGTTTGTTTTAAAATAGAAAATATGTTTTAAGTGGTACGTGGTTATTATTTTAAAAGAAAAAAATCTGAAGATATGCATTTGTACAGGTTCGCCACCTGTACCTTGAGGGTCAGGTGTCCTTTGGAATTTGGAAGAATTTCAGTTTAGAAAAGTCATCTGGAGCGGATCCTTCATGTTATGTAACAACCTCCAGGGAGGTGGGGGCAGCACCTTGTGAACATGAGTGCTTCTGTGTTGAAATGTTTGAATATTCACCTTCAAGTGGGATAGATGGATACTTGGCAATTCCTGTCAGGTTATAATGTTAAATGAGTTAGATAAAGACTTTTAATTTTCAGAGATTTTTTTTGGGTTTTGGAATTTTGGATGAGGGATTGTATATCTTTATAAAGAAGGAAGGTGAAGTAGAATCACCTGGAAAACTAACCGTTAGGGATAATATTTTGTTGTGTAGCTTTCCCAATTTTGTATGTGTATGTGTTTATGTACATACATATGTATATGTGTGTGTGTGTGAACATACACATGTATCTGTTGAATGTATTCAGTCGTAAATGAGATTATCCTTTGCACATTTTTTGTCTTGTGCATTGTAGCTTGGAATTGCCTAGTGTGGAGTCCAGGATCTAGGCTTTTGCCAACACTCCCTCTTCAACATCTCCCCTGGGAAGAAATCCTTGAAGTAGAGCCACATTCTCCACCCAAGCACTTGCTGGGTCAGGGCCAGGCTCTGCAAGATCAGCAAGAATCAGGAGCCAGATGAGTCTCTCTTCTCAGAATGCCTGAGGCCCCTCAAGGAACAAATCTTATGCTCACCTAACAACTAATTCCTTAAAAGAAAGGGTCTTCTCCTGCCTCATGTGCACAGGGTGATCAAGGAGGGCCAAGAACTTTACCTTTCCTATTGTCCTCTCTTCCAGTCCTCTGGGCCCCTCGGGAGCTTGAGGGCAGGCCCTGGGAGGGGGTCCAGGCCTTCTCTGTTGCTGACCCCATCTCTTCCCTTCA